ATATCTCTACTACATTTCGAAAATGACGTTAGACAAACTTCACTATTTTAGAAGTGGTGTACTTCGTTTTCGCATCTTGATAATGTTGTCAGGATGATCCTTTTGAACGTACTTTGTCCGAACTCCTCTGCTATAGTAGATATGATAATTCCCGGCATCGGACCGTAGACTTGGTACGTTCCTAGAGGTTTCGCCGGCAACGTAGAAAACAGGGTTACGGCATGAACGACAAAAAAGAGATGCCTGGTTCAAGGATTTATCGTTAACCAGAAGAAAATGGATCGCAAAGAAGAAGCGGATAAGAAACACTAGGAAATCAAAAAATGACGTTTTCACTGAGTGTAGTCTGCTCAAAAAAACAACTTTATTATTTGGGGCTGGCGATCACAGGAATAGGGAGACGGTTAATCACAGCCGTGACTGGTATTCGGCACTATGGCTAGTAGATCTGAGACAATTTGACTAAAAATTTACTCGAGATACAGCAGGATATCAGAGATAGACTTTTACAATTTGCTCAGGGTACACTGGTTGAATCAGAGATGGGCTGTGGAGACAATTCCTGATATCAGCAGGCATGGAAATCAGAACCTAGGCGCTCTGCTTGGTGGGGCCATAGTATACATGCTACCAAAGGCTTGTAGCAGATTGAGAAACAGCGCCTATAGTAAAACGTACAGTGACTGGAATCGAATTAAATCAGTCAACCATAAGGAAGATTGGAATAGGAGACCCGGTTCAGATCAGCAATTTCGGCTAATCGAGGTGGAGGAAGAGGGGTCAAAGTAAACAAGCAAGTGTGATAAGGTCACATTAAGCTAGCTAAAAGGGGCACTCCCCTACAGGAATCGAAGTCATGATAGTGAGGGAATGAGGTAATAAAATAGAGTGGGTAGCTGTGCCAGGACACAAAGAAAAGTGGTAGCACAGTTCGGCAGAAAGTTAATAAGGGGGAATGACTTCACTTTAAAGAGTTGTAGCTTGGTCCAGAGGATGTTAAGACCTGGCGATGCCGGCGAAACGTCTGGGAATGTACCAAGTCCATGGTCTGATGCTAGAAATTATGATAACTAGTATAGTATAGGACTTTGAACCAGGTGCGTTCAACTAGGTCGCCCTGACAACACGACTAAGTTGCGAAAATGTGGTCAGACCACTTCTATACATCGAAATGAGACCGCGACCAAAAATAGGGACATATCTTGTTTTTCATATCTACGATTTCCGTTGAATGTAAAATAGGTTGTCCTTGTTGTCAAGTTGATTTATCTTGTTAAGGAATTCCTACCGATCCGTTGTGATTCCAGGATATCATCCTCTCGGTGCAAGATTTCTAGCAGGGCCGTTAGCGCATTTTCTCCAGAGATATTTGTATACACTCGGACGAAAGGTCAGCAAGGCTTCATCGGGGTCGCTGGGCAGTGTGCTGAGGACGTATTCGCACAAATTTACGGTCATAGCTCAAAGGCAATCCATGTAAAGCTTCAGATAAGGCCAACTCACGAATGCCTTCTACTCTTTTCTTCAAACGAAATGAAAGGTACTCCAACATAAATTCATTTTGTCCACCTCATGTGTTTTGGGTAGGTCTGGTCCTCGCCCCATGATCTACTCTTTAACTAAACCTTTATAATCACCAGTCTGGAAGCACATCTTCTATTTCCTTGCATGCAATCATTCAATTTGTCCACGACTGTTTCACCCATTTTAGATAGTTACACAGATTTATTTATTGTGTCTTATACCAACAGCATCTACATCATCAAACATGGCTCCTCAAGCTTCTGATGTCGTTGACACGTCTCGCCCTAGCACGGGCTCCGGACCTGCTGGCTGTGTGCGTAGAATCTATCTGCTCCGTCCTAGTCAGTTACCCTCTCACAAATCGACACCCACTGTCATCCGACAGCTAAAGCTGGCCTCTAGTCAGTCTGCTACGACGAGCTCGAGCATGGCCCTTCAGGCCTGGGTCGAGACTGACCATCCGGAACGGACCCCTCTGATTGCTGATGCCATTCCTTCCACTCAAGCAACGGGTTGCACTCTATCCGCTCAATATTCGTTATCCTACTAACTGTTCAATGCCCCTTTTTTGAATTCAGTAAGTTTATACAATTAACTCTAGTATATCCTATTTATGAAACATTTGTTTTCTAACCCATTTTTACTCATTCTATTATTTTTCCAAATAATCGTTAGAATCTAACCTATTTTCAGTCCACAGTTTATTCGACAAACATATTTTTTAATATATTTAGTATTTTGACCTC